AGATCTGATTTCCACCAAAATACTTAGAAAGACTCCCTAAATTCCTGGGAAGTTAAATCAGATTAAAAAAATAAAACCAAAATAAATTGCAGATCATAACAGAACTATGGCTGGTGGGAATGCTAACTGACCTGCTAAATCATGTAGTGATCCATCCCCAAAAATTGCATGCTGGAGAACTTTCCAAATGCCAAAGTGGCAGCTGGCATCCCCAGTCTCCCAATTATTTCTTTCAAGATCTTTTACTGTTACATATTCATGGTTTTATCTTTTACTTTCCTTCAGTGAAATGCAGTGGATAAATTGAGCAGTCACTTTGGTTTTGCTCATGTGGAACACATGGAGAGTTACAATACAAGGAGAATGATAACAGAATGGACTTCAGGCAATAGGAACAGTTTCCATTGTTTCTCCTAATGGATGCACAAGGGATGTATTGGATTTTGTCATCTACATAAAAATGGAGCAATAATATATCAGTTTCACCGTTATTTGCACTTCCCTAACTTACCCTTTTACCTCTTAAAATAATATGTAATACAGTTCTTGGCTTTAGAAATACAGACTTAAAAACAGTCTCCCTCTTCTTTCTCTCTCAAGTACTAATTGTTGGAAGGATAAAAGTAATTTAAAAGCAGTATATTTTTCAGTAACAGTGAGGGGTTTTTACATATAAGAAATGCAGGACATGAACAGGCATTCAGTGTCATGAGCTTTTATTTGATTAGTACACACACTTTTTTAGGAATTTGAGTCACCAAGCAGATAATATGATCTTTCTTGATAATTTTTAGTTAGACAGAATTAAATATGGCAAATTACATTCATAAATAAGAAAAGGATTCCAACTACAAGGTCTAAGTAAAATTTTATAAACAAATTAAAGTGCACAACATAGTTCTTCCTACAATAATTTCTTTCTTATCAGCCATGAAGCAGCCATTTTATTACCAAGTTCTTTTGCACTGATGGAAGAGATTTCAAATTACAAGAAAATGAGTATTCACCAATGAAAAGTAGGAAAAATCTCTAAATAATATATTTACAAGTAGGAAATATGACAAGATACAGAGCAGAAGTAGGAAAGACCGCTTATTTCCATTTGTACTCAACTAACCCATTGATAATACTGCTATCTTATATAAAGAGGAAGAAACTCTTGCCCTTATAATTAACTAAATCTACTGAAAAAATAATTTCAGTATAAGGTTCTGGTACAATTAACACTACAGAAAGCTTCTGGATGTGGCAAAATTAGCAAAACACTAGAACCCCGATTTTAGTGAGGGGTCTGTGATTAAAAAGATCCTAAATATGCACCTATCATTTCATCCAAAGCAAAATTATCATGAGCACTTTTTATGAACAGCATTTTAAGCCTTATTCATGATGCAGTTCTGCATTACTTTTACAAAAATAATTTTTCCAGCATGGGATCATAATATAAGTATTCTTTGCAATCATGTTTCACACATTATTATCAGCTGCAATACTGAAGTGAAAATTAGGTCCATATTTGAACATCCTTGCTGTGTCTCATTTTGCCCTGAGAATTATTTCAGCTGCCAATAAGTTACTTTTCTGGATATTCAGTAGTGATTCATAGATAAATTTTGCCTTTTGGCCAGGTGTCTGCATAACTGGAGGTATCATCATAGGAGTTAAAAAGAATATTTAAATCTTCATCCACATGAATGCAAGGAAATCTGAGAACACATCTCAGGATAACACTGTAGAGCAACAAGGGGCAACATAATAGAAATATGTCCTGCAAGGTTTATTACAGGCATGCAAAGAAAAATACATGGAAAAAAATTAAATTACTCAAGTTCAGAGGATTCTGTTTTTCTTATAGTAACAAACTGCCTACCAACTATTAAGCATTGCCTAGGTAGAGGTTGAAAGTTGGAACCATAAATAATTCCATTCACACACACAACTGTATTCAACATTTCCTCTCTCTCCTCTACCCTTCCTTCTCTTCCTCTGATATTAATAATTAGATATCGGTTTTCAATTAGTGCACCAGGCCATATTATCAAATCCATAGCAATTCATTTTGTCTTCACAGATAAAGAGCTGTGGGAGCTGCTTATTTGTATAACTAGAACAAGATTAATTTCGTTTAAGGTGGCAAATGGCAGAAGATAAGGAGAAGGAAGAAAAGGTGCTCCCTGTGATATTGCACTATCGCAGATTTCAGGGTTGAAACTACAGAAGAGGTTTTCTTTCTGTTCATGATCCAGTTAGGCTTACTTATGAAGGACAAACGTTTGTAGCACTGCTCTGTGTATATTTTAGTAAGGAGAAAGAAGAAGTTTTGAAAACAGCAAGGCCCACATTCACAGCAGCCTTCCCACCTACAACTCTGTTGGAAGCCTGGCATGTAGACAGGCTGGGAAGCACCTATAAATGGGATGAGGTGCTGGTCTGACCATGTAGTATCTTCAACAAAGGTTGACTGCTGACAGCAGCTTAGGGGGCCACCCCTCTAAAGGGACAGGATGCCATGTGTGGTACAACTATTGCAAGTGACCAGAATTCTTGATAGCAGCAATTTTATAACTGTTATTCCTAAAACTCACATAGGACATCCATAATTAGACAGATTTATCGATCACACAACCTGTACAAATATGCCCAAACCATGGCAGATTATATTTGTTCAATAAAGTATTAGCTTTTATAATGTTTCATATAAGCAAGGGGGAATTGAAGAATTTACTGACAGAAGGTTTAGCTTGCAAAGATTTCCAATATTTTCACAATAGGTTGGTAAAAAACCTTGACATAAATTTATGGAGGGAAATGCAAGTGTTTGTAATGGGCCAGCAACCATCAGCTCATAGTTCCCATGGAAACAATAAATTGTTATGCATGAGTAATGGAGAGTGATTACATTTAGAGTAATTATGACAAAAAGTAATTAAGCAAGATGAGAAGAACATACAGCATCATTTGCCTTTTTCCTCTACCAATGGCAATCCACATGCCAGTTTTCAATCACATTTCTTAATCACCATAAGACCTTTCCAGTCTGTAGCCCACTTGTGGAGTCATTCTTCATGCATCTTTAGATGACCACTAATTGACTGAATAATAGTTGAGTTTTGTTGTTTTTGTCCTCCGTATCTGCATAGCTCTCATACTGTTAATTACAGAAACATGAGTGCAAGCTAAGGCCAGAAGGGCCACTGTGATCACAAGATCTACATACTCTGTTACATGAGATGCATTTTCTTCCTCACAGCAGTGCTATCACCTAGTCCATATTTTGAAACTGAAATACATAAAATCTTTCAAGAAATAGCCAGATGTGATTTGAAGCAAGATGAATATATTACACTTGCTCATTAAGGATTCTAAGGTTATTTGTACCCATGGCTTAATGTTAAGCCTTCCTCTTAATTAAGATTCAAACGTTATAGCCTAATTTCACTGTATGTGACCTTGTGAACTCACCCACTAGTATCAGAGATGCAGAGCATCAGGTGTTTGTCTGTCTCTATACAGACCAATGTGAAGTTATCAGGGCACTTCCTAGCAAGAGCCCTCTGCACTGTGTTTAGTGACTTGGCTTTGGTAACGGGGTGGCGACAGGGGTGGTTGCAGGGAGAAGGTGCCAGCAGCTGTGTGACAGAGCCAGTGGCAGCAGGCTCCATGGCGGTCCCGCTGCTGGCCAAGACCGAGCGCACCAGTGATGCTGATATTGGCACAACACAGCTAAGGGGGCGCGGCCTACGGAAACTGCAGTGGGAGAAGTGAGGATATGTGAGGGAAACAGCCCTGGTGACACCAAGGTCAGTGCAGAACAAGGGGGAGCAGGTGCTCCAGGTGCTGGAGCAGAGATTCCCCTGCAGCTTGTGGTGCAGACTGTGGAGAGCAGCTGTGCCCCTGCAGCCCAATGGAAACCCATGGTGGAGCAGAGATCCACCTGCAGCCCCCAGAGGATCCCAAGCTGCAGCAGGTGGGGGCCTGAAGGAGGCTGGGAACCCATGGGAAGCCCAGGCTGGAGCAGGCTCCTGGCAGGATCTGTGGCCTTGTCAAGACAGGAGCTCACACTGGAGCAGGTTTGCTGGCAGGACTTGTGACCCCACGGGAGCACCCATGCTGGAGCAGCCTGTTCCTGAGGGACTGCAGCTCGTGGGAGTGACTCACATTGGAGCAGTTTGTGAAGAACTGCAGCCCCTGGGAAGGACTCGTATTGAAGAGGTCAATGGAGGACTGTCATGTGGGAGGGACTCCACACTGGAATAAGGGAAGAGCATGAGGAGCCTATCCCCTGAGGAGGAAGGAGTGGCACTGTGATGAACTGACTGCAGCCCCCATTCCCTGTGCTCCTGTGCTGGTCAGGGTGCAGAGGTAAGGAAAATAGGAGTAAAGTCCAGCCCAGGAAGAAGGGAAGGGTGGGGAGAGAATATTAGTGAAATTCGGGGTTATTTCTCATTATCCTATTCTGATTTGATTGGTAATGAATTAAACTAATTTCCCCAAGGTGAATGTCTTTTTCCCATGACAGTAACAGGTAAGTGATCTCTCCCTGTTTTTATCTTGATCAATGAGCTTATCCTTATATTTTCTCTTCTACGTCTAGTTAGGAGGGTGTGCTGAACTGCTGACAGAGTTCAGCTGGGCTATTTGGTTTTTTTTAAGAAGTTCTAGGAAATGTTTTTGTGAAAGCCCCTCCCTTGCAGTGGTGCTTCCTATGGCTCAACTCCAGTGCCAATATCCTCCAAATTCAGGATTCCAGGGGCTACGCAGGTAATTTCAGTTACACAGAGTTGACGTTTACTGGAAATATCAGATTCATTTTCCAGTACAATAATAAATTTTTAAAGTTTGCCTCATGTTCTTAATTCCTAAATGTTCTTAATTCCTAAATGTACAATTTTTCATTTTACTCTTTTAAAACGATCCATTTGCTTGTCTAAATTGTGAAATTCAGTGTAAAGGAACTGTCACACCATCACTGCTACTGTAAATGTCACAACTACAAGCCATTAGCAGTAATTTTCTATTTTATTTCAAAATCTTAATATTAAACTTCAACAAGTTAAATTATTGACAGATCTGGCTAGAAACATCTAGGTGCCTCAGATGATGTATTACTAGAGGAGAGGTTTTATTTTTCTCAGGAAATTTTAGATGTGGCTAGATGTTTATAGAGGAATGGAATGAACATGCAAAGGAAACTACAGTTTTCCAAGAAGAGAATGCTGCCATTAGGGAAATACTTCTATAAAATGAGACCTCAGCCTTCATCCAGTAAATGTATCTGGCCAAGGTGCACCAACATGCACAATGTCATACACAAAGGGTTTATGAGTACTGCACAATAAAATTGATAAAGTGCACATAATTTTAGATCCATGCTGTAGCATTTACTTTTGGTTTAAAAGGTTTTCATTAGGTATAAAACTGATTATATTTTGGTTTCGTGCTCAACCAGATATTTTTACTGTATTGAAATAGCCTTTGATCAACGTTAAAGCAAGTATACAGACAAATATGCACATACTTGACTGCTTTCTTCTTCCAAAACTGAGCCACATACAGGTTTTCATAAAAGAGTTTTGGACTTCACACCACTGAAAGATTTACTGGATGAAGGCTTTTTCTCATATTCAAATACAGGAATCTGGCTCTCTTTGTCTGTCTCATAAACAATCCATAAATTACAGAGATTTAAACGACACTTGATTAAGAAATATCAATATATTCCATAAATTTCAATAGACTTCTTACCAGCCTGAATGGAGGGCCATGCCTCCTCCACATAAGTACTTTAAAATCAGAGTATTTATTATATCAGTTAAATTTTCAACACCTGGTGTCATCGAGCCATCATACTCTATTCAGCTTTATGTTTACAGTGTTTTTTCTGGAAGTTTTCCTGAAGATGCTGCTTTTTTTTAATTATTATGTAAACATTTTTTAAGGAATGCAGTTTGTATCTCATATGAGAGAGCTAAGAAGAGATGGTACAGACTTATTGGAACTATCCCTTGAAAATTCATGCAAAGTACAATATATCTCAGAACAAATGCACGCTATTTTACATGTGCTACACATTGAAACAAACACAAATTTTTAATTTTTTTGGTCTTTGACATTTGCCCATGTACTGAAAACAACACTAGCACAAGCTCTGTAAGATACAAGCTGTTCTTTTCTCTGCTGTTCTTTTCTCTGCTGTCCTCATTTCTCAATGTGTCACATCACACTGTGAAGCAACCATGAAGATAACATAATAAAATAATGTATTCACAGAATTATTTTATAAAGAGACCCCTCTCCTTCCCTACAGCATGGGATTTAAAGCAAAATTTATTTCACTGCAACATTAAATACATAAAGCTTAATGTTTATCTCTTGGAGATAGTGGCATAGTTTTTTGAAAATGGAGATCTAATCAGTTATGAGAATAATAAAGTTAAGGTTTGAAGGAAAAGATGCATGCACACAAAGTAAAAGGTAATAGAAAGCTCAAAAACCATAACTTAAAAAATGTCAACTACAAAATTTAAGTTTGCTCCTTATACAGTCATAATGTTTTTACATATATTTTCAGCCAGTTTGAGCATATTTTTGTAATCTATTACAGCATCAAATTTTGTTACCAACCATAGACATACGAAAATTTTGAAGAAATTCTACATTTTTTGATACAAGAATTTTAGGTAATTATGAATGATTACATTACAACATATGTTTAGTACATGCTTGTTACTGAGAACTGTGTAGCATAATTACTCAGAAGCAGCAATTAACTGTCAGCTTGACTTGCAACTAAGATTCCTTTCTTCAAAATTAGTTAAATGGGCAACACAATTACCTGTGAAGTAGTACGGCTGAGCATAAAATTACACAAGTTCCTTCATTTTACTGCATGTTTGCACATATTCAACAGTATGTTGGTCAAGTGCCATTCATTTGGGGCTTTTTTGGCTATGGATTCTAAATCTGATTTATATATACCAGGGTACAATGTGCATTTGGGTCCACACATATCTTGGAATTGTACTTTAGTTTTCATTAGAGGAAGAAGAGCACTGCTGTAATATTTTGTATTATACCTCAAACACAATACTCACAGTCAGGCAGGGCAAGCATGGCACTAAGAGCCCTAGCGGAATAATTTCTTTACCTCTTTTAATGAGATTTCTGTATCTTTTTAAGGCAAAAGTGGTGCAAAGCAGAATGTAATGTATAAAATGGAAACTTTGTTAGAAACCGGCTGCAGTGTCTTAGTTTGAGAGGAATCTGATTAAACACTCCTGTTATTAATTTTGTTTTGTACAGCATAACATTTTCAAATTCACACAACAGGATGGAATTCAGTGGGATTATTTCCTCTTGCCTTTACTTCGCAAACATTGAAATAAACCTTTCTGGTTAGAAAAAGATGTAGAAAAGCATACTAGGCCAGTCAATGAGGTGAAACATCTGCTTTGCTTTCCATCAGAAACCACAATCCCTGCCAACAAGCTCAGAACCTGAAAGCACTCAGTTATAGTGGATCCCATCACCCATTCCCTGATTTTCCACCCAAGCCAACCATTTCTGTGGCAGGACACCTTGCTGCCCAAGTGTCCAGCTGCTCTAGGGCTGGACACAGTTCACAGCACACATTAACACTGCTGCTGTATTTGAAACCTTCGTGTCACAGCTGAGTATGACGAAGTCACGCTAGAGATACGGACCAACAAAAGCATGTTTAGGCAGGAAACTGAGCCTTAGAGTGTCAGCTGCCTCTTAAAAAAAGTGGAAGGTGGAAGTCAGGTGGAAGTTTTACTGACATTCAGCAGGAACAAGGTGGGACCGTTCTAACTAGTTGTTACAGAAATCTCTACCCTTCCACTCCTTCATCCTAAAAATTTCAGACAGGTGTAGCTCCATTACTATCAAGCACCAAGGTTTAAAATTATGTACAATTAAGGAAAAAAATTCTTCTCCAGATGAAAAAATAAAATCATCTTGTTATTATATTTTTATACAATTATATGCTTATGTTCCAATTTTTATGCAAAATCATTTAATAGCAATTTTTAAAAATTAAAATTTTTTCAAAATTGTAGAATTTGCTAAAATGTTGTAAATTCAGCTGAAGTTTGATGATGTTTTAATAATTTGAGTGTTTGAGTTGATGAGTATCTCAAAACTCAAGAGGACTTCTTTCTAGGCTGTTTCTGAACCTCAATCCCAGCCCAGGAAAGGGTTTCCTGCATAGATAAACCCTTTTTTTCCAATTGAGAGTTTTTTAAAATATATATTTGTATATACTAATATTTTTTCCCTATAAATATCATCAAATAATCTCTTCATATGAAAGAATGGACACAAACACCATGCATGCAATAGCATGTCTTTGATATTATTTTACTGATTCCAAGCAGACAGTACTGACACATAAACATAGCTGGTTTTATGTGAGCTAACTCTCCATAACTGACGTTCCACCACTCTGAATTGTTATTTTTCTTAAAGCAAGTCTGTGGAGATGCATCTGAAAGAGCATCTGGCCAACACCACGCAGCATCTTTAAAGACCAAGAGAAGGTTTAAGGACTTTCTCAGCAATTTTACACACAATACCAAACCTGGGACAGTGGTGGGTATTCTGGACAGCAAGCAGACCTTTCAAAGGGCCCTCAGGAAGCTGGAACATGGAAGCAACAGCTATCAAATGCATGAAGACCAAGAAAGCCAAAAGCCACGTTCTGAAACTTGGACTGGGACTCAATGCAAATCTGCAGAAAAGGACCCGAGGGTTTGTAAAGCAGAAATTAAATATAAGTCAGCAGTGTACCCTTGCAGCCATAAATTATGATAATATTGGGCTGTATTAGCAAGAACCAGCCAATGGGTCAAGAGAAACAATTATCCTGCTCAGTGCTTGTGAGGCCACATCTGGAACACGCTCCTCAGTTTTGAACACCTCAGGTCATGAGCGGGATGGATACACTGGAGGAAGGGCAGTGGAAGGCCAGTGACCCAGCCAGGGACCTGAGGAGAGGCTGAAAGCAGGACATGGTTCCAGAAGGGAAGGCTGAGGGGAAATTCAATAGCCATCTTAAAATTACACGTTAGTCAGTTAGAGAAAAGACTTCAGTTCTCAGTGAAAGGGAAGAAAGCAATGGTCACAAGATACATCAAGGGAAATCCCAGCTGTGGATAAGGAAAAATATTTTAGTGAGGATGGTTAGGCATTAGCACAGGTTTCTCAGAATATATTGTTGAATTGCCATCCTTAGAAATGTTCAGATTTTGCCTGGTCAAGGAAGTGATGCAACTCTGAGGGTATTCCTGCCTTGAGAGCATGTTCAGAGGTTCCTTTAATTTGATTTACTCTATGAGTCTTTGGGTCATTAATAAAAATAGGTAAAATAATGTCTTACTCCAGCTAAAGGAATGTTTTCAAAGGACTGTTTTTCCATTATTTCTTTAGCTATTTACAACCTAAAGACATTATAAGTAAAGTTATAAAATTGCAGAAACTACTAATTTTATCTGAGAATTTGCAGAATTGTACCATTTACCTTATGCACTTTGCATTAATTTAAATGCAGCCTTCTTTATATTTCCAGTTTAAAACTACATTATATCAAGCTCCACTTACAACTTTTAAGGGAATTCTGCCTTTAAATCCTTAAACATTGTCTAGAGCTTCTTTATGAAACATAATATTTTAAAACATATGTATACATTGCACTTTTAAAACTGTCTCTCCATCTCAAAGCCTATGAAATTAAGAAAACATACATATACATGCACATGCAGCATATGAAGAGAAGCTTCCCTCAGACACAAATCCTCATTTTGGTACAACTACACACAAGCCATTAAAAAAACCTTATATAGTGTACACAAAAATTCTGTGAATACAATAAGGCAGCCATATGAAGTGGAAAACCAATCCATCCTTGCTCAGTAAGACATAGTAAAACCAGCTAAACAGATAAAAATAGCATTTCCTCTCTAAAGCAATTGCCTCAAGGTGTACATAACTTATTCCAACTCCAAATCGGAGCCCAGGCTTACTTTAAAAAGAAAAAAAGGCATTGTTAGAACAATCCAAAGAGAGAATAAAAGCTTTTCTCTTTGAAATCACAGTAGTCCAGTATTTATTACCTGTAGGACAGGAAAATTATCCATTTTTCACTTTCATGAAATAAGATGTCAGAAAGTTACCTGATCACATCAACATCTCCTTCTTGTACCTTTGTATGCTTAGTAAGAACACAGACATATCATCTCAACATTTTTTTTTTCTCAAATATCTATGAAAGTCCAAGAGCTTTATTTGACAAAGATATCTAAGATGCAAATGATCAGCCCAGGTTACATTCATATGAGTTTCACAAACTTTGGTTACAAATGCAACTTCAGTACATTAAATACCAATTAGTTTTATCAAGATAAACCCAGGAAAGCTCATTGTGCTTTTTTTTTTTCCTTGGTGTTTAGTTTACATAAAGGAAGAGCCAACATACAGGGCTTCTCAACATTCACACATGGGTACAATTGGTAGAGGGTGGTGTATCTATCCGACTTTTATTTTCCTTAGCATCATTCAGAAGCGACTCATTACCAATCTGGCATTTGAAGACTTGTTTGTAGGCCTTCCTAAAATTTTCAGATAGAAATGCATATATGATTGGGTTCACAGAAGAATTGCTGTAAGCCAGGCAGTGTGCAGTTACCCTGAAGAGAAAGGAGGCTTGAGTCAGTGGGAAAACTCCAAATTCAGCCCAGAGATGGATCACATGATGAGGCAGCCAGGAGATGCCAAAAACCACTACCACCACCAACACAGTCTGTGCTGTCTGAGACAAGGAAAGGAAAACACATATGTCTGATGAGCACTCAAAGAATCAGCTTTAAACCTACTTCAAAACTACTGTTTGGAGGGAAAAAAAAAAAAAAAAAACACCAAAAAACACAGCAATAAGTATACTGAGAGGGAACACACTGCAATATTTGTTACTGATTTCACCCCATTACATATATGGGCTTTATTTTGCATAATGAATTACTGCAAGGAGAACCCCAGCCTTGGAAAATGTCACAGTAAACACCAAATGCGCAACTTTCCTCAAAGGTGAAGAATGATGTTCCTAACTCCCTACATAAAAGCTTAGCCTTTTCTGAAGTGGACCTAAGCCTGTTGTAAAATAATGTCAAGAGTGGTCTTTGGGAAATCTCATCCAGATCTAATGAATTTCAGTACAGTGCACAAGAATTTCTGATTAAAATTTCAAGAGAGATCTATTATGCATGAAGGCAGCTGGTGGGAAAGCTTAGAGCTTGCTCAAGTGCTTATTAAAGTAAGCTTTTTGGAAGTGTCTCCTTTAAACACAGAACTTCCACAGTCATACAACATTCTGGGATACAACTAGTGAAAAAAAAAAAAAAAGAAAAAGTAAGGACTTGAAGTTTCTGATGACTGCACATTGTCAAAACCAATCTGGAAATTAAAGTTCAGCACCAAACACTAAATTAAAAAATGGAACATAAAATATCCTCAGAGCTGCTTACACACTATTTATGAGAGGACCATCAATTTCATTAGATCTATTCTAAGCTCCAGAATCAGTTGGTAGGGACCTTCAGGTGCTGCAGGTGTTCTGTCAGGGCACAGTGGAATTTGATTGTCAATATTTTCTTTAGTTTTCACCTGCTTCAGAAACAGCAGTTAGATCTTTGCAGTGGCCAGAGCAATTAATATCTATTCCTCTACCAAGTACCTCTTTCAACTAAATAAGTATCCAAATAAAAGTCTAATAATAAATCCTAAGCATATTATGTCATAAGCCATTATTATTTCTAAATTTTTCATAATTTTTGTGATAACTTCACATCCAAAACTAACCCAGGGGCCACAGAGTGATATATATTGCGGCATAGAAAATATGTAGGTTTTTTACCAGTTTATTGAACTTAGTCTATATTTCCTGAACTGATTAATGCTCAGTAATAATTAAGACTTACCTATCTAATCAGAATATGAGTTAGCTTAGAAAAACTTATGGAAAAAACATTTTGATTTCTGTGGCAACAGGCCAAAATAACTTATGACAGATGCTGTTGTTGGTCAGTATAATCTCACAACAGAAACCAAAGAACATTAAATCTGTAATTAATATAATATGTTTAGTCTAAAGCAAGCATCTGTTTTCATAAGCCATTCCTCTACTCAGCCCTATGAAGTTTAAATCAGTTGCCACTAAAACAGCCACAGAGATATTTTCTTTTTCAGGTCTTATCAGGGGAACATGCATAACAACATTGCATAAATTAAGAGCAGTTTATTCTCTGCCTGATGAGTTCAATGGGTTCCAAATAAAATAAAATTTTCAGGATACCACATGCACAATTACTTCAAAAGTGACATTTAACTTCAGTTTGTTCAAAATTCTGAAAAAAAATTAACCAGAAAAATCGTTGACATTCAATAGGCTATTGATGCACCTGAAAGCAGAAGGTGAAAATGTGTCTCTTGTAACTGTTACTTAAGGTTCATATCTGCAGAAGAAGCAATTTTGTGTTAGGAAATCTCACAACATCTGCTTTATCCCACTGTTCCTCCTAAGCCTAACGTCAGAGCTTACTTTTCCAGAATCATCACTTTGTCTTTACAAACAAGGTATCACGAAAGAGCAGCTCTTTTTTACATACTGGGAGCTTGCTTAAGGTTTCTTATTAGCAAATAAAACCCACCTGAAATATATGACATTAATATTAATGTTTTGTGACCAAAACGCATGAAAAATAGAATTTAGACAGATTAATATTTTTCGTTATTTTTTTCCACACATGCAGCAAATTTGTTTTAAGATTCTGACAACTAGAATGTTCATAAAGGTTTGAATAAAGCTAAAAATGTATAATTACACCTGAAATGCATTCTTCACAAGACAGTAGAAGGAAAAGAAGAAAGACAAGATAACCAGAGAGAAGCACTAACACACTAACGAAGACAGAGTCACTTTGAAAAACACGAGTTAGGCCTTCAGTTTAGAAACTCATCTTCTAAGGCAAAAAAAGATCTGGACTGATTTTTGGGTTTTTTTCCTCTTTGGCTACTGAACCCTGATACATTCAAGCAGTCTTGATCATATCTGTAATGATTTATCCTGAAGCTATGAAAGTTAATTTCTAGTCAAACCTGCAATTTTTGAGAGCTAGTGGTTAGAGGAAATGCACACATATTTCCAGTTTGGGAATAATTTAGATGAGAGATGACAATGTACAAAATGTATTTGAAAGCTATACCTTTGGCCTTGACAACATTAAATGCAAAAGTATAAATGTAAAGTATTTTACTGAGTCAGGGCCGTATGCTTTTAATTCCATTAATCAAAATCTGTTGAATAGGATATCTTTCAAAAAAATAGAGAATGCATAAATGATAGAGTACTTATTCCTGTTGAGTCCATGTAGATCTCGTTTACATTGCAGGCACTCTCCATGCCCGTATGAAAATAGTGATCAGATCAAATGAAGAGCTATAGCTCAAGGGGTTTTTCCTCCACATCCATAAAATGAGAAGTTACTCAAATGATCACTGTGGTCAAATTGGCTCAAAAATTACTACCACATTACATTAACTGACAAATTCTCTGTTTAAACACATCTTTCAAATATTGTTCTAAATCATGAAGCTTCTATTCTTCTTGAAAGACCTTTCATGATTCTCTATGTATCCAGTACATAACTTATGTCTTGAATGTAAGTGAAGAAAACAATGTGTGAATAATCAATAGAAGAATTGGAGAATGTTTAAAAGTTTCCTGTTAGACTCCTATTGTAAAGCACAATAAATTTCATTTTAAAGTTCCCTCATACAACTGAGGAATTATTCACTAAAACATTAAAATATAGACTAGTTAAAAAACAAATTTAAAACCCTTTGATTTACAAGTCAGGGGAAAATGCCAGTGAGGAAAAAAAAAAAAATTAACACAAAAGACAGGTTGTCTCCCTGTGCCTAAATTTCAGATGCTCGGAAGTTCCAAATACAACGATCTCAGGGAATGGGTTGATGCAATGTGATGGAAAACTTGGCTCAGAAAAGATTCCAATCTGCTAAGTTCAGAGGGACACTGAACATTTCATTAAATGTTTAATTAATTAATTAATTGTTTAATTAATTTAATTAATTTCATTTCATTAATTTTAATTTCTTCTCTCTGTTACATCTTTAGCAACAAGTACCAAATTAGCTCAGCCATAAAACTCAAATACACACAAATGAATATTGAATGCAACATACCTTTTTCTTGGATGCTTCTGACTTCTTTGACATGTTTTTCAACTTCTTATGCAGATGATTAAGAACCTGAAAAGATTAATTTGCATCTCTTTATCATATTTCTCCAATTTCTATTCAAACAAAATTCAAACCTGTATATGTTAGACTACTCTTGTGCTCTCCAGTACTGGATGATTCACTAACAAACATCACTGAACCAGCTTACACAATTCAAACATGCACAATAGGAAAACCAAAAGAATTACATATGTGAGTCAATGTGAACCAACAAAAACAAAGCAGACCACCACTTAATTCTTACTAAAAAATGCAGATGTATTAAATAACAAATACTTATCACAAATTAACAAGGAATGGACGGAAATCTATCTTGTACATGGAATTAGCAATCTGTTTTCTTCCATAAAAAGTCAAAGACTTTGTTTAGAATGACCTTTAGTGTGTGTAACATAAGAAAAGTGTATGTTTTGAGTCAGAGCTTTTCTGAGTCACCTGAATAATTTGTTTCCTTCACATAGATGCTTGATAAGTATAATCAAGATGCTGGCACTATTTGATGTTTGAAAGAAGCTTAGGCTTTCAAGAATAATTTATACTAAAATGAGACACGACACACGAGAGGCATGACCTTTCACAACAATGTGATGATAGTCACCATGAGTCTTTCACAAGCCAATTTTAAAAATACGTCACAAAAAGACTCATTGTCCAAAAGCAGGGTCCAAATTTTAACATAATCATTTACACACAAGGTTTTGGAGAGAGGATGCAAAGAAATCTTGGGCTGGGGAAAAGGGTCCAAATTCAGATTCTTTCATATCATCTGGTGACATTTTCTCCGTGTTCTTTGGGTTGCACAGCAAACCACTATCAGGACAGACATCAGTCAAGATTATCTAGAGATTTTGATATTTGCATTTTATAGACATACATCTTGAATTAAAAGAAGTAAGATGGTATTTGTGAATATCCAGAGTTTATCAGCAGACATATTTTTTAGGTATCTACTCTTAGCTACCAGAGAACCACCACCAACTACAAAAAAAAAAAAAGAAATTACTGATAACCACTTAATATTGTAAGTGAAATTCATTTGTGCTTGTTTGTGTACTACCACGTGACTCACCCTGCATGCACTTCTTATTTGGAAACACCATCCAGGCCACTTCTGGGGGCTACCCCAAGCTAAGGGAAAAGAAAATAAATGGGCTTTCCCCGAGAAAGTTCCATTTTTACTTCATTTCTTTCTTTTTCAGTATGAAGCAGACCCAAAGGAAAGGACAGAATCCCAGCAGAACTGGGAGATGACTGTCTGGCTCACAGACTTTTTGTTCACCTCCTGTCGCTCTGTAGAGACAAGCTGAATTGCTGAGTCCTTCAGTGAAAACATAAAACTAAAAAAAGGGCATGGGAGGAATACAATTAAGTTTGTGTCCCATGCTGCTGCTTCATCTATCACACCCGCTTGACAAAACTTACAGTGATGGGCTGTTTCTACTGGATCTTTGCAAATCCCATCACCACCCAATGACTGCACTGTTCTGTGATTCTCCCTCGCAGCCCAAAAAGTCAGATTAACTCTTCCCAGAGATCAGAACTGCAAAAGAGTTTTTAAAGTTACAAACATTTTTTTCTTCTGTTCTGAAACTTTTAGCCCAAAGTTTTGCATTGTATCTCTCTCCAGTTCAAAGAAAGATGCAGGAGACAAAACAGGTAAATTGGATATTTGAGGGTGTTGGGTGGTGGTGGAGGAGGGTTTTGTTGTCAATTTAGATTATAACCTCCAAATGAACCGTATCAGCTTCCCCTCTTTCGGATTACATACACATTTCATAAAATAAGTATTGGCAGTGAAAACATTTTGGCTCCTCATAGTATTGTACTAGATGAAAAGTAGCAGCAAGAGAAATAGACAAAATTGCTGTTCCACTTATCAACAGCAGTGGAACAGCACTCAAAGACCTACACAGAATGCCATGGAGTATTAAAAAGAGCCATGTTTATGCACAAACATAAAAGGCAAATCAAAGACACTCTCCCCACTACACTGTTCGAATTGCCTCTTCTCTGGGGCAATGAGTAATCAATTGTTCCTCTAACAGCCTAAATAAACAATAATTCTACAATGTGCCTCTTACTATTTTCAACTCCAGCTTTCATGTACCTGCTGTTCAGACATCAGCTTCCCTTTTTCTGGATATGAGGGTGGGGTGCTGTGGTAAGAAAATTATCTTGTGTAAGAGACTGTAAGGAGACTTGTAGGATCTAATCTGGTACAGACCATATGACAATGACTACCACTCGTGACATTTGGCAGGCCCTCGGTTCTACCTACACATTTATTTTCTTTATTTCTTTCTTTCTCATTCCTTTTATTTCTTTTCTTTCTTCTCTTTCTCTCTCTCTATATCTTTCTTTTTCTCTCTCTTTCTTTCTCTCTTTCTCTCTCTATCTTTCTCTCTTTTTAAAGTATTTTTAAATTATTCTTTTCCTCCATTTGTTTCAGAAACTACATTCAAGATGACTTGAGAGTCCTGACTGAAGACTTTGACCAAATCAAGTTGAGAAAGAGATTTTTCCAATACAAGAGTGAAGAAAATAATTTCAACTACCTGTGTCTATTCACATAAGTCTACCAAACATCATGAAAGTTTGAAGTCTACTGTTGAAAGCCATGTTTGCTGCCTGGCACTTCACTTGACCACATTCACTGACCATACCTTCATTATTATCCACTAAAAAGCATGCAGAAGGAAAGCCTGCACAGGGTCACTATCTAGTAAGAATGAACTTCTTGTTTTACAGATAATGTAAGCATTACATTCTGAACCACCTTTGTAGTATGAACCTGATTGAAATTCAAGTGCTATTGCCTGCAATCCATGTTTTAAAGTAATGTCACTACTTCTATTGTCACAAGAGATTCTTCATCCTCTTTCAATTAAGAGTGTGTGACTAATGTGTCATAGCTTTTATTTTTCTCTTTCAGTGAAGTTTAATAAAATTTTACCCTTGCTGCTCAGCAAAATTTAGGATATAATATCCAAAGCCAGATAAGCTTGTATTTTATGTTGAGGCTGTTACTTTTTATGGCTCAGTTTTAACCAAGTCTGTAAATCATACATGACATATGTTCAGAATGATAGATAATAATGGAAATATTCTTAAGGCAAGACATATTTGTTTTAAAGACAGCTTTTAACGCTATGCATCTATAAAAGGAAATGTTTACTAATAATTATAGGTGTCCAACCTAAAGGTTTGAAAGTGGCCTGACTTTCAAGGAGTGAATCCTTGAAAAATGGAGGTACCCAAAATTAGTTGTAACATTGCACAGCCCTGGCAGATGTCAACTGTTAGAAGCTGACTGGGAATCATTTATCACTTTACCCTTTAAGGGCACATTAGAGAGCAAATGTTGTTCAGTGAGCAAAACACATACAAAAAGTCAACATTAAAAAATATAGCAAGTAAAATGATAAGCAATAAAAGAGTTAGAACACAAGGTGTCTGTAAGTATGCAGTGCTGAGACTCAGCTGATCACTCATAATCACTGCTCCTCCCTCTGAAGTTGTAACCTTTTTTCAAGAGTAGTTCTGTGAGGCAACAAAAGCTGGTTTCCTATGGATGTGTGACTTTTTTACAGTGTTCCCAAAAAGAAAAAGTCTTCTCTGTAAGTTGATAAGACCTCTTCCCTTATGGCTTGTCTGGTGTTTAACAGCTGAATGCAAACCAACACCTTAAAAGAGGGAGGATAATGGAGATTCTCCACCATCTTCCTTGTCCGCTGTTTTCACAAAACTAGAGAAGTATGCTTAATTCTGATATTTTCACTCCTCTATCAAAAATTTGCATTGAAACTGAACTAATGTTACTTGTGGGAGACAGAAAAGAGGTAGTTGTACACACAAGACAAAGCATGATCTCATAAATCTCTCCCTGAAGAGCGTGTATCACATGAGATATTTTGGGAGGACACTGCTTCCAAATACCTGGCACTACTTCAGCACTTCTGTACATTGGAACAGCATTGTTATGCATGGGAAAAATACAAACCTCTGTTAATACTATATAAATGTGAGTGAGAGAGAAAAAGAACTTGGCTCCCTATTAGAGTGCCTAAAAAATGAGACTTTCAAAACTGAAAGTTCAATTACAATTTGTTTATGAATGAAACAGAACTGCCTTAAAGGAGTCTGGAAAAGGCAATATATTCAAATAGAGAAATGAGTCTCCTTTGTCTTAATTTACTGCAGCAGAAGATTGTGTTATCTCGCTAATTCACAGTTCATGAAAACCAGTGAAGTCCATAAGAGACTAATGCATAGATTAATGTCTCCTAATGTCTACAGGCTGAGAGAGTTGGGGTTGCTCAGCCTGAGAAGGCTCTCCCTGTCCCAGAATATTACAGTTGGAGCTTTGTCAGTGGCTCCTAAAGAGGCAGGAGTGAGTCTTTAGATGCAAGGTACCTTTGATAGCTCTGTACAAGTCACGGCACTTTTCAGCCTGTACCAGCTACCACTTAGCTATCTTCAAAAATTCACCCCTTAAGGTTAGCTCCTCCAGCCTGACACCATGGCAAGCAGGCTCAAAACACATCACAAAGCCAGGGTGAGGTCCTAGCCTGACAATAGTTTAAGCACACGATTTTATTGTAATTTCAAGTGGCCTTGATTTTGCTAACTTGTTCTTGGGCATATTTTTCACATATAGTTGCTTTTGTTGGCTTGTGGGGCGTTTTGTTCTGTTTTTAAAACGACATATTAATACTAATATTGAGAGATTTACTTCTGTAGAGGTGCTTTGTAATGACAGAGTGTGTTTTATTTACTATGCATATATTCTGGTTAAGCACATTTGCTTTTTTCATGCCTACACTGTACAGGACTATGCTAATTTTGAAAGATTTCTTATTAATCTTCTCTCATATAATTAGACTTCAAAGGCCAGTACTTTATGCTGAAACTGAAGATGCTTTGGCTTTGAGAAGGAGAAGAATTAGCAGCTGAAAGCCCCTGTGCACACATTCTGTGGTATTCTCCCTGTAATGTGTACTACTACTTTCTTCAAACTGACAATATATTGCTACAGCTCAGTCATATTCACCACAGTAGATTAAATACCACTATGAATTCAGGGAAAGCAGGATTCAGTTTATGTGTGAAAACTTGTGTTTCTTCTTCATTTGCCAGGCTGGATTTGTTCCACTATGAACAGCATTTAGAAATGTTGTCCTTTGTGTTCTGTATGCCTTGGTTTCACCAGAGTTGGAAAACATTACAGCCTCAATTTGCACATCAAAATTAAGCTGATGTAATATATATAAAATTGAGCAGAACATAAAATTGTTTGTTCAAATTAAATACTTCAGGTACATGTATTGAACTTGCCAGTTGAAGAACTGACTTAAGCAATCCATATTTGCAAGAGCAGTCCTACCCTCTCAAATGAAAATCACTGCCTAAGGAGAAATCCTGAAAATGAAGTCAGCTGGCAGAGAAACAGCAAGATATCAGCAGGTAGCAACTGGTGCTCCAGATCCTGTTTAGCAGCAAGCAGAGGACCATACGCTGAAGGCTGCAATTATTAGTCCAGAAAAATGTGACAATTTGCTTAAGCAGAGAAGTCCTTAAATACCCATATTCAGGCACCCTTAATTATTGCTTTTTCCTACCTGGGTTCTCATGCCCTGCTCCCTGGAACCACCTTTGCCAAAGTCAGAGGTAAGTCTCTCATCAACTTCAGCTGGGGCAAGACATGGCACCACAGGGACCAGGCAGCATGAAACACATTTTACTCTTAACACCAAACAGATAGTTTTTGTCACTTTTAAGTGCACTGCACGTTTTAAAGAACCACAATGCTTCATCTGAAGCCCGAACAACTTGTTGCTTTGTTGTACTTTATTGAATCAAACTCCTCGCACAGCACTACAAGAAATTAGGTTATGGTGACAGGGAAAGCAGCAGAGCACTGGGACTTAGCATTGTACAACAAGGAAATCTGACAGGGAGACCCCACTTATTGCCAGAACACCTCTCCCCACTCATCCCATGCAATCTCTGTTCTGACCTCTCTGTGATAGTGAACATATATGAATATAAACCCCTTGGACATCCCTCAGCTATAAAAAATCACAAAGAATTTGTGCCCTCTCCCTGTGTGGCACAAACTCACCCCTGCTGTTTCTCCTCCCAACAGTGCCAAGTCTCTCCACATGCCCAGAAGTGGCCCTATGGCTCATGGACACCTTTTCCACCACTGTGTCCCTCCCATCCTTTTACACTTGCCCCACCTTGGCATAGCAGAAGGAGATGAGCAGCAGTGGCAGCAGATATCCGAAGACGAATGTGCAAATCACGTAGACCTTCTTGTGGCGTGGGTTGGGCCAGAACTCCCAGCAGAAGGTCTGGTTGCTGGTCTCACGGTGGAAGATGCGCTGGTGGTGAGCCACAGGCGAGGCCATGGCGAAGGAGAGCGCCCAGATGAGCCCCACACCCAACATTGCGTTGCGGGGAACACGCAAGGCTGAGGAGCGTCGGGAGTGCACGATGGCCACGTACCGGTCCACAGACATGGCCGAGAGTGTGAAGATGCTCACCAGCATGGAGATGGTGAAGAAGTAGTGGATGAACTTGCAGATGAAGGCTCCCAGCACCCAGGTGGGGAGCACGTAGACCGTGGACTGGAAGGGGATGCAGAAGAGCAGGTAGGCCAGGTCAGCGATGCTCAGGTTGAGGATGAAGATGTTGGTGGTGCTTCGGCGCTTGCCCGGCTTGCTCCTCGCCAGCACCGTGATCACCAGACTGTTGCCCAGCACCCCCAGGGTGAAGATTAAGCCGAAGACGATTAAGGTGATGAAGTTCTCGATGCCGATGCCGAAGAGGGGCTTCTCCTCCGCCTCCGGCAGCCCGGACAGGTTGAACTCCCCGCGGAGAGTCTCTGCCGCTGTTCGGGACAGGTTGAGGGGCGCCGCCGGGGGCTCTCCTAGCTCCATCCTTCCTCCTGCGCGCCGGGCAAAGTTTCCGCGGGCGGAACGCGGAGCCGCCGCTCCCCGGCCCCTCGGAGCGCGGCGAGCCCGGGGCAGCCGCCCCTCCAGCACCGGGCGGCGGGGAGGGAAGGGCGGAGGTGCCGCCGCGCTGGGCGCAGCCTGCGCTGCCGGTCGCGGAGCCGGCACGGCGGCCCCGCCGCCCTCCGCAGCAGCGCTCCGCCCGCCCCGGCGGGGGCCCGCGCCCCGCCGCCCCCGCCCCGCCGCCGGGGAGGCGCTCCGGCCGCGCCCGCCCCGCCCGCAGAGCCGCGGAGCCTCCGCGCCTCCCGCGCTGCCTCGGAGACTGAGCTCCCCGGGAACGTGCCCTCGGAGAAAGGGGAGGCGCGGTTTTCTTGCCCTCTTTATTTCCCCCCGCCTTTTCTTCCCACCCTTCAGCTTGTAAGTGCCCCCCACGCAGGGCGGCAGCCGGAGCCCCGGTCCTCTCCCCGGAAAACTTCGCTCGGTGCCTCCGCTCCGGGAGAGGCTCGGGAGCCGCGTCTCCCAGCAGGGCTAGGCGGAGCTCGGCTGGTCCGGCCGGGCATCGATGTAGTTGCTTGGAAAGACAGAAACGATGAAGCGCCCGCGTGAACCCGCCTCAACAGGTAGCCGGCAGCAGGAGTTTCTCCGGACTGAGCGCCACCTGTGCTCGCTCTTCTCAGGTCCTTCACAGATTTCAATCCTCCATTAATCACGCAGTATCTCAAATGGCAAAAGGCGGCAGACACCGTCACGCCTTCCTATTAAAAACCAACCAACCAACCACACACACACAAAGCAATGGAATAGCAAGCCTAGCCGTTTTGCACTGCCAAATCACGACGCTCGAGAGCTCCGCCGCGGCAGGAGCGCATCCGCGCTGAGTGCCCGCGGGCTCCCTGGAGCCGGGCAGCCGCAGGCAGCGCTACACGGACCGAAACGGCAGCTCCTGGAAAGCCAGTCCCTTCAGAGCGGGGCGAAACATAACACTTCTCCAGCGCACAGATGCGAGTTCATGAGAATATTCTCACCGGCACATACACCTTGTGAATGAAACGGATTTTGGCTTGCTTCCAAATTACCAGTCTGTGAGCTACAGCTGGCAGCAGCAGTGGCCAACACCATTGCCCAGATGTGCTGATGGAGGCAGGCAGCTTTTGGTTACATATTTTTCAGTCTGTAGTTTGGTGGGGGTTTTTTCTACCTTTCTTTTTGCTGTCTATATTGAAGCATCTTAGCAGCTGCACATCAGCTAACTGCAAAGTCATCGACTTCTGCAGATCTAGATTTTAATTAAACTAATGTATGGTCTGCCCCATTACATCTGAAGGAACGCATCACGGGAGGGCACAATTTAGTTTATATAGATCTAAGAAACTTTTATTTGGATTGAGCTGGTTTCTACATCTGTTGTAACTCATTTAAGAATTTATAAATATATCAAGCAAAAAAAAGCTAGTAGGGATTCCTTAAAGATTTGGGTTTGCAATTCTTTTAATGTGCATTCTTTACAGTTTTGTTGACATGGTTGATCACCATCCAAATCTACTCATCTGATTCTGCAAGGGATGTGAGAAAGAACACTGTTAAACATTTCTAGGATATATCAGATATCACACATTTTTTGCAAACTCTAAGTATATTGTGAAAATAAACAGAAATCTATAGATTTTCCTAGTGTTGCTGATGCCTGTGTTTGCCTATGAATTCCTTCATGGGGTGAAGGAGATACAAGAAACATTTTGAATACGACTGATGGTTTGCTTTTGAATCATGTCATGTTGCCAGACACCACTCATTTTCCAGGATGTCTGGAGCAGCTCTGGTTTTGATTAAGCTAATGCAATCCTCCACCTGATATGCTGCTGGTCCTCACCACTCACACTTCTGTTTTCTTGCAAAATAATAGATATTATTATTTGTACAGAATAGCCTGAAAGGTTAGAACATAGGCTATTATGCTTAACAGAAAAGTAAGCAGGAAAAGTGGGAATAGAAACAAAATCAATTTTAGTGGCAGTCAGCCTGAAAATCTCATTAGTTATTTGAATGGGATAGTTGACTATAGGTTTCCTTTGGGTATTTAATTGACAGTTCTGTGTTTCAGGCTTTGCTTTTCTGCTACATATATACTGCAAAGTTCCTATATATTTCCTATAATACTACCCTGAGCATTAGGGAAGAAACCCCCAAGAATATATTGTTACTTTTCTCTCAGACCTTCAGTCATCAGCTTTTGCATGAGTGAATGAAAGTTCCCACGCTGAAAACACTCATGACTGCTGTTAACCAAACAGGTATTGACATGTTAAACTACTGTTCTTCTTATCTAGACTGAGTAAAATTTTCATGCAGAAGAAAGTTGAGAGGGAAAAGTTGTTATGAATTCAGTACAAATAAATATATAAGTAGGAACTAGTTGAAAAACTACGAGAAAAAAAAGCAGTAAAAATATTGCATTGCACTTTAAGAAAATAAATTTCATGTATTTGCAAAAGATCTTTTAAGCATGTGCCTCAGACATTTCCTTGAATCTAGTTTTATTGAATTTATTTTATTGTTTTCCATTTGTTGTGAAAAGATCTACTAAAACTAAAATAGCCTAAGAACTTTGGAAAGAGCAAGAAACTGCATACAGTGTTCTTCTGTCTCTGACTAGAATCCACAATCATCTTTATCAGACAATTCACCTCCAAAAATTTGTTTGGATCCAAAATTTTCCATAGCAATCAATGGAGAAAATAATAGAAATATCTAAAAGGGATGGGAACCTACGTACCCTGCTAAGTCTAGACCTTCATATAGTAACCACTAGTTACTATATAAACTAGTAGTGACTATATGAATTAGTAATAACCCACTACTCCTCAGTGGGTTAATCCAGAAGATATTACTGTAAAAACATACAAGGATGCCCTTCTTTTTGCTCAGTCCAGTGGTTGGTTATGTGATTTTTATGTTGTTCCAATAATAAAAATATTTGACTTACACTGGTAAAATATTATCTCAGGAATGAGGATTCCCATGCATTGATTTAAAATATTACTACTAAGATATTTGTTACTATTCAATGCATGTATATAGATAGAATAAACATATAGTCAATATAATGTCAGTAAAATGCATTTATCTTTTAAAATTAACATTTAATTAGCACCTCAGAAACAATAAAAAATGCACTTTTAATTATATTGAATAACTGAGGCACAAAAATCAGCATCTGATTATACAACTATATACATACATGTCTTTATGCATTTTATCATTCCACAAGAATAGAATAATAAGATACACAACTTCTTCAGATAAGAGTTTAGTAAAATCCTGTATAAATTATTTTGGGGCCTTTTGGAAGTGTTTTCAGGCTTCTTTCCATAGTGAAGTTGAAGTTCAAGGCTCTCAACTGCACCCCAGTGTCTATAAAGAGAAACCATTTAAAGTGTATTTATACCAAAGCATATGAGTAACCCTGACCTTTAGAAATCTTTTGATAGCTCAGTCCTTAGCTGATTGGTCACTTTTCTTTGCGGCAAAAAAGATTCTCCAGATTTGGTCGTGTTTTGTTTCTAAAACATAAGACTGAAAACAGGTCTATTTTGAAGACAGACTTGTTTGACTTATTTGTGAATAAACAAAGATCAGATGCAACAGTCACGTCAATCATACCCCATTATTTTATTTTGTGAAAAGTTCCTGCAGTAGAAATTTGTATTTTAAAGGCGGATGTGAACTTCAAGTAAAATTCAAAAGCCAAATAAAAAAATCCATTATTCATAATGAAATTTTGATTCACCTTCTATAAAGTTATTAGTGTGTAAAAGTGAAGCCTCTATAAGCATTAACTCCCCTTCTATCTATACTCTTGGGAATAATGTAACCCTCAGGTCACAGTTGTCACTACATTCAGATTTCCATAGTGGAGAAGTGTCACCAATAAATTGAATTTTATTGCTTCCTGCTGACATTTCAAAAGAAGTAAACATCTGCCCATATACATTAGAGAGCCATTGTCATTCCATCCCTGAGTCTGTGCTGATATTTTTCCCCGCCTAGTTTTCTATTCCAGTTCTTAAAAGTCAGTTCTAAATAGGCATTAAAATGCAGGCAATCAAAAGTAAATTTGAAGCTAAGTTTCCAAAATCCCATTCATACTTTGCATTACTATTTAGTCCTTTCAAGTAATATGTTTTAGGCTTAAAAATTGTATATAAAACCATGTATCCATTCTTTATTCAATGCCCAGAAATTTTCTCTGTAAAAATGCCAAAAGCTAAACACCATGGTCTAACAACTTGAACTTGCTTTATAGTTGTTGAAGAGAGTTGCTTGTTTCATTTTCCTTGATTTGTGACTATTACCCCATTGGATGCTTTTTACTGTTGGCTGCAGAAGCAACTCGCCTGTGCAAAAAAACACAGCTGTGTTTTGTCTAAAACAGAATCAAGTGTATTTTGATGAACACTTGTAATACAATATAACACAATAGATCAGGTCTTACTAAACTCAGAAGAATGCATCAGGTATCCAGGTTATGGGCACAGCAGCTGCAGAAATCTTTTAAATGGACAATTATTCTACCTTCAAACTGCTTTGTAAAATGTGCAACTGACTGGAGTGAGGTCGTAGGGCTTATGAAAGGCTTAAGTTCTGTAAAATGAGCATCATGTTTCTATACAGGAAAAGCAGAAATACGGGCTTAAGACTCTACCTTAGCCATGATGATGGCAAACATCAGAATTATCAAGGCTGAAAGAGGTAGCAGTAGAAAGAAGTAACTTGGAAAGCTGAAGCAGGTGTGTGCTGCTGGCAAAGCAGCCATGAGTTTGCAGGTTGCTCTGTCTGGGGTCAGCTCCAGGCACAGGCAGAGGCAAGTGAACATCTGATGGAAGGGAAAAGGCCAGGACTTCACTGTCCAGCCCTGGAGACCTTGGTCACCAGGATATTTCTTTGGGCAAAGGGAGAAAATAGGTGGGCAGTGCACAGTGGATAGAGACCATGGACACCTTTCCTACCACTTACTGCTGCTCCTAAACTCTCCTCCATCCTGGCAGCAGCAGTCATAGCAACCTTGGCTCCTTCGGGCTCTCCACAGTGCTCAGACAGGGCTTGTGTGTCAGCAGCACCCTGGACTTGGCTTGACACCAGTCCTCCTCATTCAAGCGAAGCAAAATCCAATTTATACACCT